ACTGTTTTACGTAACAATTCTATTTTTTTTTTTTTTTTTTTTAAATATCATTTTGTTTTTGTAAAATATCTTTTTAATTTAAGAAAAATTGTGATAGATAACTTACTTATCTCGTTCATATTGAAAATAAAAAAAAAAAAAAATATTATAGCACTTTTCCATTGAACCTATCGATTTTCTTTTCTAGGTCAGAAATTGTAGAATCAATCGATGCCAATTTCCTGACGCGTATTCCAGTTCGCGGAAAAAAAAAAAAAAGTTTATCGCAATATCTACTTGATCGTCGAAGAGATCATACCTTTGGCGAGCTAATGAATTATGCAGTGAATCCCGAAGGGGAATAAAATGATAACTCCGGTGGATCGTTGGAATCAAGGCTGCACGATGATATTAGCGAGTCGCGTACGCATATTTGGCACTCGCTTGCAATCGCAAAATTTCTCGCCAGACTAGCTTAAACCACCGGTCGTTTGTTTTTTTGAATTATCTGCCATTATTATCTGCAATTAATTTCATTACTTATTTGTCATACTTATTATTCTTGTAATATTCTGTTTTTATTTAAAAAAAAAAAAAAATTATGATAAAATATCATTGTATTTAATTGTATTCAAAAATTTTCTGATCGAATATATCTTTTCGTTATATATATAAACGTAAAATTTTTTATATATACAAATATGTTTACGAATTATATATATTTATTTGTATTTTTATATATATTATTTCTAGATTTGAAACAATAATATATAATGAATTCGTTATTTGATTAATATATACGGAAAGATATATAAATAATTCCTTCAATCAAATAGAATACTATCTCTATAAAAGAATTTCTCCTCGAATAAAATTTCATTGATTATATTTATATTTGTAACATAAAAACAAAGATAAAGTATATGAATTAATCTTTTTTTTAATAAAATTCAATTTTAAATTGATTGAAACGCATTATTTAAAATTCATAAAAAAAATTATTCTTTTTTAAAAAATTTTTTTTTACAATTTCCGGTTTTTCTTGTCGTTATTATTGTTATTATGAAATCGTAGCAACTTTTTTCAACAAACAACGCAAGAAAAACTTCATATATAATGTGTCCATATAATATCGAAAGATAAAATGATATTATCGTTGAATTAAATTATCATGAAGTATACATAGAAGTATACAAGATAACAATATGATTTTATTAAAAAGGAGAGAAGGATTTAATTTAAAAAATTCGAGGATAATCGATATTTCTCAGGTTGATCGTCTCGACCTTCTTCTAAAAACCGGTTATCATTAATTTTCCATGATAGTTCCTCATTGCCTCATGTTCAACGTCATTGAGTTATTTTACAATGATAATATCCAATGAATACTGCATTTAAGCTATTTAATTTTAAATCAGATGGAAATTCTGTTAAATTACATCGTTATTTTCATAAAAATTTTTAAATTTTTAGTCTTGGCGAGTTTCTTTCTAAATTGGTGTTCGTTTCATTCATATAATTCATTTTGCAACAGAAAAATATTTCAATGAATTTAATATTAAGAATTATCTAGAAATTAGTCGGTTGATCTTATGATAATTCTTTCGTGATAAGAGACAAGATCGAATAAAGTAATAATGCGCAATTCTTCTTATAAAAGACAGAATTGCGTTCTTTCTTATCTATCTTAAATCATCTTTCGATCAGTTATGTGATATATCTACTTTCGTCTTGGACTCGACTTTCTTGAAGAAAAACGATTGGCTCATCAAGAGGGTATGGTACTTATATCTTATTTACAGAACAAATTATCACATTATTTATTTTTCAAAAATTATTTTTTTCTCTATTAATTATCTCTATCAAATTGATACAATTTAAATGTAAAATAAATATGCGAAACAAATTAACTAATTTTAATATAATAATGGTTGTTTTGTAAATAAAGAAATAGTAGTAATAATAGTAAGAGGTAGTAATAATAGTAAGAATAGTAAGATTTGATTGGTATAATTTAATGAGTTGAACGATACTTATATTAATAATAGATAACAGGATATATGATTGAACATAAATATTGGCAAAATATTAGCAATAAACATTGGAATTATATTATTTTTTTTTTAACTCTGTACTTCTGCAGATTATTCAAATATTACAGATATTTATTTAAATATCACATTTACAGATTCTTTTAAGCTTTTTAATAATTAAATAATGGAATCAATAAGTTTGGATTATTTTTTAAGAAAATTTTTATAAATTATCTTTTCATAAAATATATGTGAATTATAATAAAAACAAATAAAAATTTCTTACTATAATTTACCATTTAGTCATTACAGACAACTCATACTGTACGTATAAGTATAGCTAAGAACGCTTTATTTGTTTGAGAAACTAATAGTAGCAGTATTCCTTGCAAAAATAAACTGAAATTATACAACAATGTTTTTGCTTACACAAGCTCTGGTTAATAGGGATGCATTCATTATATTACATAGACACAAATTTATATATATCTAAAATTAGATGTCATTGAAAGATTATTTTTATTGATATAATAAATAAAATTAGAGATTAGGTAAGATTACTCCAAGATATAAATCTTTAAGATATGATTTCAAGTTTTTGAATATGCGTATATTATAAATTTTTTGAATTTATAAATTAAAAAATAAAATAATATACACAAGCAATTGCATTACAATTTTAAATATATTTTTAACTTATTTTTTAAATCTAGTCTTTATCTTTAATGTATAATATATACATTATAAAAAAGATTTAAAATAGAGATTATATTTATAGATTCTTATATATCCTTATAAATAAAATGCATGCAATAATTCATTACTTTATCATACGCTTTTCATTATTATTCCGATTTGTATATATTAGTCACTTGACAAACAGAAATCCACGAGAATCCGTGCAGAGAAACCCAATGGAGATGTGTCATCGAGTAACAACAGGCTGCATAGTCTAATTAAATACTCGGAATAGCGTTGGCAATTGTACCGTGCAATAATTGTTGTACTCGGCAACGATCATCATAGAATCGAAAGCGAGATTCCATCTGAAAGACGCACGTTGAATTACGAAGCGAACACCTCGTATCATGAGTTAATAGAATTATGCAAATTTGTCAGTTACCACGGCTGTAGGCTCGATCTTGTTTGCTTAGCGTATTCAACAATGCAACGTTGGCGCGTTCGCGTGTTTGCCCTCGTCTCCAATGAGATATATTTATACTATCAAGTGGTTCGAGCGTTTCAGAGTTGCAATAATATTTATCTGCTGCGGCAACCGCGAGTCTCCAGTCTTTGCACTCGCGTGGTGTTCATTCCGTGAAATAGGAATCCGATCGTCGAATACATTGTAGAATTTTTCATGTAAACCGTTATATGTTTCTTATCACTAAAGCAATTTTCTTCGTGTGTTATATCGAATAATAATAATAATAAATAATAAAATCTGGTTTATATATAACAGATTTTGCAGCATCTCGTTATTATTAATCGATCAGTATTAATCGGAAATTTTCTTTTTTAGAATTGTTGAATTATAATATACTAAATTGATAAACAAATGTTTAATTATTATTTGAACGATAATAGATTTTGATTAGATGTAAGTAATAATGTAATAATGATTTGTTATTCTTAGAAAATGATATTTTTATTATAATATAGTGTGAAATAATTGATGGATATAAGAATCTTTCTAACAGAAATACATTCTATAAAATATATCTTACTTACGTTGCAAACAAAATAATTCTAAGCGTTTTTTAAACACATAAATTTTACTTTATTTGAATTTTTTAACATTTGTTTATCATTAATAATTTGTTTGCCATAGTTAATTCTATACACCGTATGTAAAGGGTTAAACACGCCTTGATAAGGGAATTCCGTTTGCTGTTCAGCCTCCAGGCATAATGAGCATCATCATAAAAGGCTTTATCTGCCGAGCAGTCTCTCTGCGGATTGTGTACAGTAATATTCTCAAATCGCACATGCTGTATTGATAAGAATTAAACATGTTTGTGGATGCAAGATAACTCGCGCATTTTATTAATAACTATTAAGTATACCAAGACAGATTATCGTAGCTCACGGTTTTGCATCTGGCTGCTTTGCTTATTATTAGAGACAGCTTTAACGAGGCTAATTATAGGCGATATTATATATCCATTGTCTCCTGCTGGCTTACTCCTTTAGAAACATGTCGTTATCGAGGTCATTGTCTGATCGACACTCTTTTCCCCGCATAAATAGAACTTTACCACCATGCTTTTTAACTAGCACCATTCGATTCTTATGCATTGCAGGATAAACGTTAATAATATTTGACGGAAAGTTGATATCATATATATATTGCGGGATTTTTAATTATCATCGGTTTTTAATAATATAATTTTCAATATATAATAATATATTATTTCTTAAAATATAATAGACTTCTGTTTTTTAATATTCTTAGAAGGAATAAATTTATTTCTTATGTGTTAGTATTTTTTTTTTTTATTATATCATAAATGGTTAAATAAAAAGTTCTGTGCAAATGATTTTCATCGTTTAGACATATGAGAAGTGACACTTGGTTGCAAGTCTTGTTGATATTGGCATCTTTACAGAAGACAATTGATTTCGGTTGCAAAGTAACCGACGCATCGCGATAAATCGACGTCAACGAAAAGTATATTGCATATGGTAACGCGAAAGATGCATTGGCTCAGATAATTCGCTTCTCCTTTTTTTCCCTTTCCGTTTGAACGATTAAGTACATCGCGGCCTAAGCGATGATACATTTAACTACAGTCACGATTATTATGGGAATGTTTACGGAAGATTCTTGGAAATATATGTCGTCGTTCAGTCTTGAACTTTAATCGAAAAATAATTTTCCTGAAATAATACAAATGATTGGAAAGTTATACAACTTATAAGATTATAGATCAATTAGTACAATTGTAATAAATGATATACATGTATTATTTCACTATTTTTGAATTTTGGATAAAAATGATTTTGTGTTTTTAATATTATGAATATTTTTTTTTTATAATGATATTTCACTATGGACAATTATATCGTGCGTAGGAGGCAAGTTCAAGAACCACGTTTATGATGCAGTGGAATATTGTTCAATCGAATGTTCGATTATCTGTACAGTGCCATCTAGCAAAGGGAAACAAACATTCTATGTTTACGCCAACTTATATGTTCATACACGCTGGCTTATCACTCTGAATTCGTCGGTATAGCAGTATATGCAACATCAATAGACTAAATTAATTTGAATACGGTATTATTGTACTTGAAATATTGATCAAAGGAATTATATAATAGATAAGTTGTAATGGAAAGTAAATAAATAAAATTCCAAAGTGTAATAATTTGTAATAAAAATTTAATAGAAATTGTTTGAATTAATTACGAATAATCAAAATTTTATTTATAGCTATATTAATTATAAAAATATATACACAACAATATTCATACTAAAAATTTTCCACCTTCAATAACAATTTAAAAATAGATATCAAAACATAGTATTTTTATATGAGTGTAGTAAAATGTATGACGTATTTGGCTTCTTCTCGAAGTAAATAGAATTATATTCATTAAAAATTTAATCAACAAATATAATTAAATAATAATATCAACTAAAATTTTTATTATAAATACCTATTTATTTATATTTATTTAAATTATTAATCATTACATGTAATTCAATATTGATTGTAAACTTCTTTAAAATAATTTAATATTTAAAATAATTATATTGCAAAAATAATCTATTTAATATTTAATAACATTATTTATGTATATATTTCTTTTTTTTTTATTTGCTCTTATTTGCTTTCATTAATTATTAATATATTTTTCCTTTAATAATGTTTAATGACTACTTTTAAAAACAAAAAAAAAAAAAAAAATAAAAAAATCAAATAAAGACATTAATATTTTTAATGTCAATCAATTCTAACCTTATTTTTTACGATAACTTCTTCACATCTCATATGAATCGATCGAGAGATTCCGTATGTTATGTAATTTAATGAATAGAAATAAAAAGTAATAAAATTAATATTAATAAATTAATAAATATAAAATAAAATAATATGATAGTAATAAAAACAGTAATAAAATAATAAATAAAAAATAATTTATATCATATATCTATCTATAAAATTGAAGAGAGAAAACAAGAAAATAACTTTAATATTTTTCAATAAGAGGACTAAAGAAAATTTAATGGTGTTTTAATTCAATAACTAGGAATTGTAAATTAAATTAATAAATATTTTATTCTTTT